CTCTTTCAAAAGAGGTCTATAATACTAGACTATGAAACTTGTTTGAGTAAGAAGAATGTATGAATTTGCTTAGCAAATTTTATTTACACAGATTGCCAAGTTTTTGTAGGGATGTTGATGTAGGGTCATGACTTTTGCTTGAAGGATAATATATCTTGATTTTATTCACTGAAAGAGCATTTCAGTGTCTAGCTTTATTTTGTTTGTGTTAGTTATGATGCATGGTTAATTTAGTGTAGAAAAATCTAGTTTTATTAAGAGGTGGAATGAAAATAGCAAGCAGTTCCAAAAAAACAGTAGTGGGTAACATGTAGTCCAACAACTGGAAGATCACAGTTTGGCCAGATTGGCCAATGGTGAGAGATGATGGTACTTGCGGTCCAATACTTTCCCTGTCCCTGCAGTAAAATATAGTGTATGGGTTGCTTTCTCAGAATCCAGATGCAGTAAGGTTTCAGTGACTTTTGAAATGACAATACTGGGGCAAAATGCTTTAAGGTTTTGGAAGGTATCACTATTTGGCCTAGTTATTATATTTCAATTAACCAAAAAGAAAAGCAGGAAGTACCCCCAACAATAGTAGATAGGCAAGCCAGTAAGGACAAAGATCAAATTAGGATAATTGAGAGAACTACTCATTGAAAAATTTGTAAGTGTATTTTGACAATATGCGGCTTAGAGTGACTTACTTAACTCCCAACCAAATTTAGGTTTGTTTTTAGCCATTGTGTTTCTGTTAATGCAGTGACATGGATGCAGGACTTCTCTTTGCCTTCTTCCAGAATAATTTTGTACAATACAATAATTTTAACTCAGTCTTTATCTTAAAGTATCCTAAATGGGGGAAGCCACATGGCTTAGTCAAATGTCTGGTTCTTAATTAATTTCACTGTGGCCAAGGAGGCCAAAATAGAACTTTTGGGAAGAACAATGTCACTTGTTACCGCTGAGGTTCTCTCATTAAATAGTTTCAAAATTTTCTGAAAGCTAAGCTGGGGGGTGATGAAGGCTGTAGTTCAAATGTATCTGGAGGGCAATGCATTTCTATTTTGCATGTTAGAGATAGACGTGCCAACAGGTGACTGAAAGTCTGATGTGATCTGGTTTTGTATCCATTCATTATATCATTGCAGTTGAACCTTAACTTTCCTGGGTTTAACTTTCACAGATTTGATTATTTGCAAGTTTGCTGTCAATAATTAAAAGGGAGTTTTGTGGCCTACTGCAGAAAATCACAGATGACATGTGTAGACTAGAAAATGTAAAGAAATGAAAAAAGTTTAGTAAGTCTTAAATACAGAAATGTATTAATCTGTTTTATTATTTAATACCATAACACACACACACACACACACACACACACACACACACATTTAGTATAAAAAGTTAAATTTTGTAAAAAGTTTCAGTGCACTGAAGCAATGTGGCCTACGCCACACTCTTTGTGTCAGTACTAGGCAGCCTTACATATTTTGTCTCTTAGTGTGCAGTGTAATTCACATTTCTTGCAACTTTTTGTATCTTTAAAGTGCAATAAAATACCAACTGTAATCATGGATCCAAAGCATAGTGCTTCTAGTGCTCCTTAAAGTGCTCCCAAGAGGCAAGAGAAAGTGAAGACCTTACAAGAAAAGGTCAAATTATCAAATATGCTTCGTACAGCAAAGTCAGCTGCTGAAGTTGTCTTGACACTATGGCATCAACGGGTTGACTGTTGTTTTTCAATTAACTGGTAGCCTACATTTTTATATGTATACGTAACAGAGAGAAAGAGAGGGAGAAAGAAGCAATCTAGTATACATATGGTCAACAATATTAAGGGGTAAGTTTTTGGGAGATGAGCCTAGACATATTTATGGTTTTTCCACTTTTGTGGGAGTCTTGCACTCCTAACCTTCATGAATGTGGAGGTTCAACTGTAATAAGACATTTTTAGAAATGGGCATTTTCTTTGGAAAATGCCCATTTCTTTCTGTCTTTTATCATTAGTCTATTATTATTGGAAAGATGGCATTCAGTTAGCTAGATGGCATAGAAAGGGTGGCATTCATTAAGTATCCTGCCTTAATAATATATAAATTACCCCAAAGTATAAATTTTCTACTTTGGAACATGATGTTCAGGTACCAGGTATCAAATAATGTAGGAGACAAGTGTGAGCTCATTTGCATCAGTAATATTATTACATATGCTACATGTAAATGCAATGTATGAAACGTGATGTTCATGAACCTGATACTTTCTTCTCTGTCTTATGCATGATGGAGAAGATGCTATTTAACTGATTAAAAATTAATCTTATCATGTTGGAGTTCTGCTGTAGATGCCTGAGAGTATAGATTTGGAGTATCTAAACCTTAGAAATCAGAAATTGAAATGAAGGAACTATATAGCCCCTTATAGTATTTGCTTATTACAATTTTTTTCTTGAACTGAAGAACATTTTTGTTTACATTTCAAAATCTCCATTATCAAAAACTCGGCCTCATTATGAATACCCATTAGTGTGTTCCCTTCCCCACAATATATCATAAGGCCTGTCTGCTGTAACCTCACAAGGTAATAGGTTGATTATTTAACAGCCTCTGAATGCAATCTGATGTCCTGTGCACTTGATGCATGTCAGCATCCAAACAGGTACAATGTTGTGAGGTATGGTGGCATTCTCTGCCACTCCATGGTTCATGCTCTGCATGTCTTCTAGGCAGCCTTTTTTAGTTTTTTAGATGAAGTACCAAGGAGGGAGAGCAAAAGAGACTGGTAGGCCTCCTCCAAGTAAGTTTAGTTAACATGAGAGAGTATTTTGGTTGTCTGTCTTTCCATATCATAAGAGTGTTTACAGTAAATTAGAGCAGTGACTCAGAAAGTCCAGCATCACTTATTAACAATGCACAGTATCACGATTCTTTTGTGGGGGTATAGTGTGTGCGCGTGCGTGCGTAAAATCAGTTCTCTGGTTCATTCAAAAGAATTAAAAACACTCAAAGTCATCACACTCAACCACCCTTGTTATGCTTGGCCTTTGACTTTTCTTAGTAATTAGTTAAATCAGGTAAAGGTGTGTTGTTATGTTTGAGTATGTATCCTAAGGCACAGCTGTCTTGTCTTTAACAGATGTTTCTCTTCCATCCTTAAGGCATACTTACAATGCACATTAATGAATATATTTCTTAGACATGCTGAGTAAGTTGTTTTTAAATGGGAACTAGGCTAGGTTTAGGAATGTATAGTATAAAAATGAAGATAATCTAGTTCTACCCACTGGATTTAGACTTCTTTGTATGCAAATTATTTTTATTGCAAGTAAGCTCATGAAAACAAATTAGATTTAATTCCTGTACATGCAGAAGAAGACCTAAGGATACTCTGCCATAGAACTACTTGCTTTAGGTTAGTTTTATGTTTTGTTTCATGATTCATGAAATCTTCCTCTTCCCAATTTGTTTTTTCTTTTTTTAATATTCTGAACACTGAAATTACCAAAATAACAGCTGCCTGTTCAGTGATTAGGGATTATTTTTGGTTTGTGTATCATGAGGATGTGGACAGGTTTCAGTTTTCAGGAATTTTGAACTCGGCTAATTTCTCTTGAATAGTTTGGACCTGACTTCTCTTCTCTTCTCTTCTCTTCTCTTCTCTTCTCTTCTCTTCTCTTCTCTTCTCTTCTCTCATGCTGTAGAGCAGGCTTCTGGAATTTGGTATCCAGCAAATGTTTTGATGTGGTCATGGATGCTGTGAACTTTAGTTCAAAACATCTGGAGGGCACCAGGTTGAGGAATGCTGGCCTAGAGAGTGATCTAATTTAACATGTTTACTTTCAATAAGTAGACAAAGCTGTAAAGGCACCATATATTAAATTTTGTCCCAACATGTCATATGTATTTGACCTGAAATATTATGAGGAAAAAATTTAATGCTCATTTAATGTGATTTAATGTTGCATATACATGTGTATTGGGACACTTATAAATTTTTAAGACAATTGCATTTAAAAAAAAGATACTGAAAACTGTTGACACAGTAATATGTTTTACTGTCTAGAGATGTGATGTGTTGACAGTCACTCACATATTTCTTTTGAGGTTGTTGAGGGAATTTAAATTGCACTGCAATTACTTATTAACTCCATTTCAGTCTGAAAGAAATATGTATTTTGGTGACATACAGGTATTCTCTTGCATACTTCTCTTGTTAGAGGCAATCATCTTTGAAATGCCAAGTTTGCTTAATAGTATATTTGCATTAGCTTTCATTCATTACTAATGAATCATAGAATAGTAGATTTGGAAGCAGCCAGAAGGCCACTGGGTCCAACCCTTTGCTCAATGCAGGATGCAAAGTTAAACCATCCCTCTCAAATGGCTGTCCAGGTGCATTTACGAATTTATGAAATTGAATTTTTGTGGAAAAATAAAGTGCTGCAAATTGCCAATTTTGAAAATTATCTGCCTCATATCAGTGTTTACACTAGGCAAGATTATATTAAATAAATATAGTCAGGTTAAAAAACAGAAGTCTGGCACAACAGTGACAAAGCAGAAGTAACAGGGCCTTGGATAGTTTCAGTGGGTCTTGCTAGCTAGAACACTCACTTGCTAGGAATGATGATGAGACTAGAGGCTCCCCAGCTATATCTTAGTGAATAAGGTGAAAGAAGTAGATTTGGCACTGAACTTCACTTTACTGCAGCAGTGAGGAATTATTTTCCTTACTTGAGTGGCATCTATTGGTTGATGCTAATGATGGGTGAAGCTAGAGCTACCCACACTCCTTTTCCTTTCTTCAGTGCTTTTGGATTTCTTTTTTCAGTCACCACACTTGTGGTGTGCACTCCCACACAGTATCCTGACATTCTTTCCCTCACCACCTTACACCTCAAAAAGAAGCTCCTGAATTTGCTCATTTCCCTTTTCCTGGGTGAAAGGGGAAGTTTCAGGAGCCATTTCTACTAGGCATCTTGAGGGATGGGTTTTGATATAGCACGCTTCTTCTGCTTCTTCCCTTCTTTCAGAAAGAGTGAGGAACTTCAGGAGCTGCTAGAGATGACGATGGGTAACTGGCTGGGAGAAGCAAGGAGACGTGAAAGAGGGCAGGCTGCAAGACTCAGAAGATGAGGTTGAGGTCAGATGGTGATGAATTATCAGAAGCTGCTGGTGTGGAGGCCAGTAGCCCACCCCATAGCTTTTTTACTTTCTTACCATGGCAGTGGCAGTTCTGCTGTTGATGAAATACAAGTTGTAAAGCTAATGGTCTGGACAAGGTAAAGGGGCTTAACCACAGAAAGCTGCAACAGCAGCCTTAGTTTGAAATAAAGAAAAGAACATGCATATTTTTCACTGTATATCATGTCTTCTTTAGTCATATGATAGTTGTAGTTCTGGGCATGCCATTTTAGCCTTTTGCAGCTGGTCAGTCAGTGTGTCTTGAATTATCTTCAGTATGAGACCCAAAATCCTTTCATGCCAAAAGGTGTAGCATATGAATTGTACAGACTGCAACGTAACCTTACATTATAAGGATAGATTGGAGGTGACGCTTTTGGACTGGGTACTATTCTGGAATTCTACATATATTATCATAGAACAAGCCTCTGTGTGTTTAGGCACTGACTGGGTTCATATGACAAGGCTTAAAACCCAGGAGGGTTTGTCATGTCATATGAGCCCACCATTGCATACTTGGGGTTGCTGATAAGTCCAGCTTCCAGGTTTATAAGCCATCCTGACAGTCCACAGCTTGTGGGTAGGGGTTTGCTAGCCACCCCAGGCATCTCAGTATTGTCTAAGTCTGGCTTCACACCCACAGAAATCCTTGCCAATCCTGCCAAGTAGCTGTTGGTCAAACACCATTAACAGTTACCCCCAAAGTTCTCAAGAAATAGGTGCAGCTGTCAAGAACTTTTTCTCTGCCCCATGTGTCCAGTACTTGGGATGGTGTTGAGTCAGCCAAGTCAAATTGCAAATTTCAGCCAAATCGATTGTGGCTGCCCCTGTGCCATCAGCAGCCTTTTCTGGTGATTGGTGAAGATCATCTTGGATGATTTGCAAGTTGGCCAGGCTGATCCTGGTGGCTGTGGTGGTGCACGGCTGGGATAGCTACAGTTGACTTGGCTGATTTGCCTATGCCTTTTTCAACAGCAGCCCTTTTGCTAGAGGCCATGATGTCATGGGTCAAAGTTTTGGTGGGGAGGACATGATAATTCATTTCTATACCATCCTATAGCTGAAGCTCTCTGGGCAGTTTAGAGCAAGCAAAACTATAAAGTACAATGCAAATAACATAAAAATAAAGCAGTATTAAAATGATCCTATAAAAAGAAAAACACTTGGAATTGGTAGTTCCATTAAGCCAAGTAATTCTTTAAAAACTTTGGACTAAAGGGCCGTCTTAACCTGGCACCAAAAAGATAACAAGGTAGGTGCCAGGTGGGCCACAGTGAGGATGTTGTTCCATAAATGTTTTATCTGTAAACTGTTCTGAGAGTGGTTGCTTTAGAACAGTCTATCAAAACAATAAATCAATAAATAAATGGGGGCCACAGAGGAAGCCCTCCCTCTTTTGCCATAGTCCCAGTGTTCCTTGGAGCTAGCACTTGGATGAAGGCCCCAGAGGTAGAGCATAGTGTCTAAATAAATTGCAGTTGGGAAAAGTCTCTGACAGGTATTGAGGTCCCAAGCTGTGTAAGACTTCATAGGTAAAAACCGGCATCCTCAATTAGTCCCAGAAGCATACAAGCAGCCAGTGCAAGTGGGTCACTACTGGTCTTATGTGTTTTGACCTCTAGGTTCCAGTTATTAATCTGGGTTCCACATTCTGCATGAGCTGCAGCTTCTGAACCATCATCAAGGCCAGGCCTATGTAGAGTGAGTAGCAGTAATCTAATTTTGGGATTGATGGAGTGTAGATTATTGAAAGCAAGTCTACCCCTCTCCAGGTAAGGGTGCAGCTGAGCCACCAGCTAAAGGTGGTAGAAGGCACTCTGAGTAACTGAGAGCAACTGGGCTTCAAGTGATAAAAATGAATCAAGGCAAACACCCAAGCTAAGAACCTCCTCCTTTGGGGAAGTGTAATTCCATACAGAACAGACTGAACACCCTCCATTCAGTTAGAGGAACCAGCTACCAACAGCATTTCAGTCTTGTTTGGATATAGCTTCAGTTTGTTACCCTCATCCAGTCCATTGTCACAGCCAGGCACCTGTTCAGCATCACCAGCAGAAGATGAAAAGGTGAAATAGAGCCACATGTCATCAATACACTGGATGTCCCAGCTTTTTGGTTTCATAAAGTTGTTAAATAGCCTGAAGGAGAGAACAGCCCAATGTAGAGCACTCTGCTGGATAAGCCTCAGGGCTGAACAGTATTCCCCAAGCACTAACTTCTGGAGATGGTTTTCCAAGTAGGAGCAGAACGACAGCCATGCAGTGCCCTCCACTCCCACCTCAGTCATCCCAGAAGGATACCATGGTCAGTGGTGTCACAAGCTACTGAGAGTTCCAGAAGTACCAACAGGGCCACACTTCCCTATTTCTCTCCTGGCATAAGTTATCATACAGGGTAACCAAGGTTCTTCCATGTCAAAACCCTGACTGAAATGGATCCGGATAATCAGTCTCATTCAAGAGTCTAAAGTTACTAAGGTCTTCTTGGTCAAGGGACGATTTCCTCAGAAATGGTTTCATTGCTACATCTTTCAGGGGGCATGTGATCATTCTTGCATGGAGGCACTGATCACCTCTCTAGCCCAGGTTTGTTATTCCTGCCTTACTAGATTTTATAAGGTTGGGCGGGGTGGGAAGGATCCAGTACAGAGGCGGTTGCACAAAGCTGACCTTGTGACTTATTCATGATCTGTACCAGCTGAAACTCATACAGTAAAACCATACCAGGCTCTGGGTATATCTGGGTAAAGACTCAGATTTAATTCTGGAGTTTAAGTCCCAGAACATGCAAAAGATCTTTTCCTGGAAGTGTTCAGGAAATAAATTACAATGACTCTCAGAAGGTTCTACAGTGTCCTTGGGGCCAGCGTGTAATAGGCCTGAGACAACCCAGAAAAGCTCCACTGGACAACAAATAGAAGATTGAATCAGGGTAGTGAAATGTTTCTTAGCAACACTCACTGCCTCTAAATATTTCCAATTGTAGGCACACACAAGGTTTCAATTGCATCCACTGGGAGTTTTCTGCTATTTGTACTCAAGCCATTTCCAATGTTGTTTCATTGCTCTCAGCTCTGGAGTATTCCAGGGAGCTGTACAAACTCTACAGCAGAGAAGACCCTTAAGAGCGACTGTGTCAACTGCCCAGCTTGTTTCTGTGTTCCACAGCTTGGAAAGAGGTTTGACAGGAATGCAAGACATACCAGCTGGGAAGTCCCCCAGAGACCCCTGGATACCATCTAGATCAGGGGTCTCAAACTCGCGGCCCGTGGGCCATTTGCCGGGATGGGTGGGGCATGGGGGAGGGGCCCTGCAGCCTTCAAAGCGCCGGCGGTGCCCGGGCCGGTCACGGGATGAGCGGCCCACCACCACCACGGTGGTGGAATACTTGATGTGGTCCAGCCTCACCCAGACTCTACTTCCAACGGCCCCCAGGTAAATTGAGTTTGAGACCCCTGATCTAGATCCTTTAGCCTTCAGGGGTGGACCATCTTTAGAAGCCCCCTCCCTTGCCCCCTACTGCCAGTGCAAATTTCAGAAGGCGATGATCACGACAAAGGGGCTGAGTGAAAGTCCCGTCCCCCCACATTTACAGCATCAGCCTCCTATCTGGCCAAAAAGACTTAAGTCTAGAGTGTGCCCCACTACATGTGTTGAGCTGATGATATGCTGGAACAGTCCTGTGGTTCTCATGGTGGCCATGAAATCCTGAATCACCACAGATGGGGTGTCCTCAGCATGAAATACCCAAGAACCAGCAGTCCGGGAGGTCCTGCATAACATCTGAGACCACCTCTGTCAACTCAGGAAGAGAGACTGATGGGTTGCTGCCCTGGTACACTAGCAGAATCCCCAGTCTGTCCTGCTGGCCCAAGACAAGGTTCAAACATCTCAGACTAGTCAGATGGGCAGGGTGCCTGGAGAGGGAAACTGAATTCTTATAGACCACAGTGAGCCTCCCTTGTCACCCTCAAATTACTCTGATGCTGAACCAAGTATCCTGATGGACACAACTGGGAGAATTTAACACTTTCTGTTCACCCACCCAGGTCTTGATTATACATGCTAGAATGGTTGCCTCATCTGCTGTTAAATTGTGGATAAGGGATGTCATATTTTGTATCAGTCTGACAATTAAAAGCAGCTTCTGGAGCCCTGAAGGCAGGCTGACATTCTAGCCATCAAACCTGTGGGTGCAAGGAGGACTGAAACAAGATCCAGCCATTAGCTGTCTGGGCCAGGTGCCCACCTGGCCAGTCATCTTAGTGCCATATCTACCTCTACTCTTTGCTACACTGATTGGGTCCCTCATCATCTGCCCACTTGGTCTCATAATTTTCCTCCCTGGAATGGTCCCAGGCATATATCCCCAATAACAGATACAATAATATTTTCTGAGTGAAAAATAAAGAAGCATCCTTAACTTTGTGTGGCATCCTGAAGGGACAAACCAAAAGGACCCTCTTCTGGGCTGCACCTGCTGGAAGTGCCTGCCACTTAGCAGTGGGCCTGCATATTTATTTATTCAATTTGTGAAAAGCTGCTCATTAGCATAATGCTTTCTGGGCAGCCATTGCAATAAAATATCAATAACGTTAATAAAATAACAAATATTAGATAAAATAAAGCACAGTATATATAACAAAACACTAAATATAATAAAATGAGCGCTGTCATAGAAATTGTTTAAGTAGTGCTATAGGTGCATTGAAAAAAGTGTTTTCATCAGGCACCTAAAACTCAAAATAGGCACCTGACGAAACCCTGATGGCAATGTACTCCATAATTGGGGTGCCACAACAGAAAGGTCCTTCTTATTACCTCCCCCTTAACCTCCTAGGGAGAGGGACCTGTAGGAGGGCCTCTATTGATGTTCTGGAACAGTGGGCAAGTATGTGTGGAGTAAGGTGCTCCCTAAGATAGTGTGGTCCCAAGCCATTTAGAGCTTTATATGTCATAGTCAAAACCTTGAATTCAGCCTGGACTGGAACAAGCAGCCAGTGCCATTGAACGAGGACCAACGTAATGTGTTGAGAACTGGTCCTAGTCAGCAACTGTGCTACCCTGTTTTGGATCAGTTTAAGAGTCTGGACTGTCTT